ACATATCAAGTTTGAGGACAGCCTGGGCTACATGGGAGCTTACTCAAAAAAAAAAAAAAAGTGTTTTGTGTGTGTGTGTGTGCGCACGCGCGCATGCATGTTTGTGTGCATTCGTGTGTGTGCATGTGTGTGTGTGCATGTGTGTGTGTGCACGTGTGTGTGTGCGTGCATGTGTGTGTGGTAGAAACAGAACTGGTACAGCAATCCCCAGCACTAGAAAAACAAACCCCCACAATCACAGAAGCAGGAAGAAAGATAGTTATCAGAGGCTGGGAGAAGGAACAAAGGAATTTAATGGGTACAGAGTGTCAGCTTTGCAAGACGACAGCGTCCTGGGGATCTATTTCACAACGTGAATATACTCAGAACCTCATATCTGGTCACATAAAAGCAGTTAAGATGATAAATTTTGTGTTCCTTGGGTGCAGGGATTATGCTGCACAAGCTCTCTTCAGTCCAAGTGTCTGTTACACTTTATTTACCACAAGGGGAAAAATAGTGTTCTCCAAGAAAAAAGGTTCAGTTCATCTTATGACCCAACTGTGCAAATGCTGTTCCCTGAGATAACATCAAACTCCCCATGCAGAAAAGTGCTTTATCTGCTTCTCTTGTATTATATAAACAACACAATATACTTAAAAGGCATGTAAGGGGCTGCAGAAACCATTCAGTGGTTAAGAGGGTTTGCTGTGAAAGCATGAGGGCCAGAGTTTGGACATCGGCATAAATATAACAAAGCCAGGTGTCTCGTGCACCCCTGTAGCCCCTATTCTGAAGCAGGAAAAGACAGGATCAGCAGAGCTTTCTGGCTGCCAGCCTGGCCAAGAAAATGTAGACTCCACTGTAGTGGGATATTCACTTTGTCTCCTTCTGTGGCACTGACCACGCCCATTGGGGGTGGAGCGATGGGCAGAAGTGACCTGTGGAAGGAGGTCGGAGGGGGCCAGGAAGGCTCTCTCTTTCTGGTGTGACTGGGACAGGAGAGGATCGGGTTGAATTTCCTGGTGTTCATCTGTCTAGGTTGTAAGTTATTTCTCCCTGAATAAACATCTATTCGGCCTATTTGTTTATCCTGATCCTTATTTACCGCAATACTCCACATTCAAGGAGAGACCCTGCCTCAAAGGAAGAGACAATGATGGAGAAGAAACCTAACTCTCTCTTCTGGCCACTAACATGCATTCAGGCACATACACTGTGTGTGCGCTTAAAAACACAGTTTACGAGCATTTGCTGCTCTTCCAGAAAACCCGAGTTTGATTCCCAGCACCTACATCAGGCGGCCGATGGGCACCTATAACTCCAGCTCCAGGGAATCTAATGCCTTTTTCTGGACTACAAGGGCGCCTGCACACACATGGAAGGCATGCACATACACACAAAATTAAACTTTCTTTAAAGATACGATTTAGTAATATTAATATTTTCAGCGCTGTGCGTGCAGCCCAACCATAGAGCGCATGCTTAGATAGTGTGAGGTCCTGAGTCCTCTGGGAGAGCAGCAAGTATACTCTTAAGCACAGATCACCTCAAGCCTACCCTTTCATAACCCGCGTACCATACCCATGTATAGAGATGTGTAATTAAAGTTTCACAAATGTTTTTCAAAACAAAGAAAAATGAGATAAAGGTGTGGGCTTTGGTTTCCAGTTTGTTGGCACAAGCTCTGGAGGAGATAATTTAGCTGTGCATCTCTGCCATCCCATCTTTCCACAGACTGAAGCCCTAAGCAGCCAGTCAAATGCTCAAAGAGGTCAAGGTTCCTCTTCCTTCAGGCATCCCAGGGCCTGATTCATCGACACCCGCCACCTCCACCATGCTGCATACATCTTACCCCAGTGACATCAAAGATATGTACTGGACAGGCCTTGGTGGCCAAGTTAATGCCTCGTCTATATCCTGACCCTGAGATTAGTCCCTGGGCTCTGAGGAGTGCAGTAACGCGGACCGTTCAGCATGCACAAGCCCTGACCAAGGTGGAGCTGGTGTCCCTGCCCTTGCCATCAAAGCCCTCAAGGCAGAAAGAAACAAACACAGAACACAGCAGGAATATCGCTCTGATGGCATTGTCTGCATTACCTGACAGATGAGGCACTAGTCTTGAGCCGAAGAACTCTGTGAGGCTATCTATTATCAAGGTCCTGGGGACTGGGGGCAGTGTCTAGCAGTCATGCCACACAAGACATCAGAGGTGCGATAGAATGCCTGGAGAACACAAACGAGGCGGCATGGTGCACACACCAGGTTCCCAGCACCACATAAACCAGGTGTGGCAGTACACATCCCAATGGAGGCAGGAGCATCAGGGGTTCAAGGCTATCCTCAGCCCCATTATCAAATCTGGGACCAGCCTGGGCTACATGAGTCCCTGTCTACAAATGAAAAAGCAAAGCAGATCCCATCACTGTCCTCGCCTTCCCTGGGATCGAGTGTAAATAGAACAGCTGGCTACAGTGGCAGCCACCACACCCATCCCGGCCCCTAAAGCCTCCCGCATTGTCCTTCACTCTGTCTGTTGCCAGGCAGATGTTGGCCACCTAGAAGGCCTGTGAGCCTCCAACCAAGCAGAGGGAGGAGCCTGGGTCCCTGAATGACATCATGGACCAGAGCCTCTGACCAAAGCCAGTCTATACTGCGCGGTGACACAGATAAAATAAGAAATGGTGAGCAAAGCCGTGTACCCGGAAGGCTCTTACAGTAGGGGTCACCCTGAAGGTGACTGCACAAGCCCCACTGTCCTGTTCAGCCTCGGCCTGTTATGATTGTACCCTCCCTCCTCCGTCCCTCCCTCCCTCCCTCCTCCCTCCCTCCCTCTCTCTCTCTCTCACACACACCTCCTCCTCCTTCCCTCCTTCCTTCCTTCCCCCTCTTTCAGGTCTCTTGCCGTCCAGGTTGACTTCAAGATCACTGTGTAGGTGAAGATGACCTTGAACGGGTGACTTCTGGTCCTCCTGACTCTACCTCCCAAGTGCTGGGGTTACAGGCAAATGCCATCAGACTCAGTTTACATGGTACCAGGGATCAAACCCAAGGTCTCAAGCATGCTAGGCAAGCACTCCATCAACTGAGCTGGTAGAATGTTTTTGTGTTTGGTTGGTTTGGTGTTCAGGGTGGTACCCAGGACCCTGTGTGTGCTAAGCACATGCTTTACCTCCCAGCTACACCTAATTTGAGTAACACATATATACATTAGCATACACATTAGTTAAAGCTATCGCAAGAACATTCTAGTCATACTATTCTAAAGTTTTCTCTTTCATTGTTTTAAAGGGCAATCTTTAAAAGGATTTTTGTTTTGAGATTGAAATATCTTTATTTTATGTGTATGGTCGTTTTGCCTGTGGGTGTGTATTTTGGGCATCAGATCTACTGAACTGAAATTATCACTGTTCTAAGGTACCACATAGGCGGTGGGAATCCAACCCAGATTCAGTAGCCAGTGCTCTTAACTACTGAGCCTCTCCAGCCCCTTAAATGGCAGTCTTGGCTACTGTGACTTACACATAAACATTTACAATATACATTTAGCCAGGCATGATGGTGTGCCCTCTTAGCCCTAGCCCTCAGAAGGTAGAGGCAGATAGGTACAGGTGGATCTCGGAGGCCATTCCGGGCATTGATGAGTTCCAGAGGCAGGATTCTTCTCAACAGGGTTGGATGGATGTCTGGGTGTCAGTGGCCTTCATACGGGACTGACTGAGAGGCAGATGAAAATCAACAGCTCCAAGGCTGAAGATAGTTCATGAGGTAGCAATGATGCTCAGCTCATGGGGTGCTTGACGATCAGGCACAAACCCTGGGTATATCCCCCCCACGCGGAAACTGGGTATGCTGGTACACCTGCAATCCCAGCACTCAGGACGTAAAGGCACTCAGAAGCTTAAGGCCTCAGAAGCTTTGGCTGCAAAATGACTTCCAAGCCAACCTGGACTCGATTGTCTTAATTAGAATCCAACAATTATAAAACCCTGTCTAGTCTGGAATTTGCTATGTAGACCAAGCTGGCCTCAAACTTATCCTCAAGTTTTAGCCAAGTCGCTGGGCTGTGACTTTGGTTCACATATTCGTACACGTTCTCGGTTAATTCTCGTTGTGGCAACTGTTTGTCAGTGACAAAGCGTTGAAGGCCACAGAAACTGGACCCTTGACCTACCACCACGTGTCCAACTACTTGCTTTCCTCATGGGACTCCTTCCCATCTGCCCGCTTTCGAGCACAGAGTACTTCCCAAGGAGCCTCATGAGGGAAAGGCCATGGCAGGAATCCGATAAGGGGATCCCGATGACTGGGGGACAGTAGTGCCCTACTGTCCCTTCCTCTACTCCAGCATGCTGCTTTTTATCTCTAGGACCCAGCCCGGTGGGGATGATGGGGATGCAGCCTCAGAGGACCACGTGTCCTGAACTCAGCTGAGCCCTGTCTCAAGCCCAGGACAGGTGGCTAAAGGACATGAGTGTCTCCTTCTGGATAAAGCTACCTGAGAGCCACAGGGACACAGAAATCTCAGCCCCAGGTCCCCGCCTCAGCCTCACAGGGCATTTCACTATCTTGTTTTGTCTAAATCTCTTCCCACTAGCACCAACTCTATAGCACGAGGGTTTTTAAAGTCGGAAGGGAGTGGGGGCTCGGGCCCCAGGAGCACCCTGGGTGTGCCCTTCCGGCACTTACTCTGCATCAAGAGCCAGGCAGGAAGCTCTCAAGAGCATTGCTTGCTTAAGGATGGAGGGTTGAGAAGGCTAGGGTGTGGCTGAAGAGGTTCGTTCTGACCCCACTCACAGCTGACCTCTGCCTCAATGTCATCCCTTGCCCAGAGACAGAGAGCTGGGGAAGAGGGCAAAGGAAAGGATTAGGAACCAACACTAGCCAGCACAGGGGGAGTGACAGGTGTGGCCCTGCTGAGACGGGGATCAAACACCTGAAGGGCTCTCGAGACCCGGGCAAACACTGAGGTCTGGCCCTCGGGCCCTCTCCCCCGCTATAAGAGCCTCTGCCTCAAGTAGGGTGCCGCGTAGTAGGCAGCTATGGGCAAGCCGCTTCTCCTGCAGTGGCTGGTGCTGCTGCCCACGCTCTGCAGCCCGGGTGCAGGTAAGTCTCCACCTCTTACCGAGCCAGCCGCGTCCTACGACGACCCTGGGCTGCACTTTTCCTGAATTTAAAGAGGAGGTAGATGAGGTCCACCCAGAGAGGCCCTGGGGGTTGTCCAAGGGCAGTCGGTGGGGGACTCAGAGATGCCTGGCATAAGTAATGGCCTCCTATGTGCAATGAAACTGGGCTGGAGATGGGGTGAAGGCAGGTGCCAAGTGTATCCTGGATCTTGACGAAGGCTCCTCTGACCCCAACTGTAGCTGTCGGGTCGGCCTCATCCCCGGATTGTGCACAGGGCCCTAAATTCTGGTGCCAAAGCCTGGAGCAAGCAGTCCAGTGCAGGGCCCTGGGGCACTGCCTACAGGATGTCTGGGGACACGCGGGAGCTGTGAGTAGCACCCAAGGAATCAGGGTGGGCATAAGGGAAGTGGGGTTCCCACAGAGACTGGGGTGGCACAGAGGTTGGTATGATACAGTATGACATGACGGGCAGACTTGGATGGGATGATGAGATGGGGAAGGACAACAAAAAATGGGATAGAGTAGCGTGAGATGGATGGGTGTGTGGGTGGGTGGGTGGGTGTGTGGGTGGGTGGGTGGGTGGAGGGATGGATGAGTGGATGGGTGGGTGGGGGGTGGGTAGGTGGAGGGATGGGTGGATGGATGGGTGGGTGGGTGGGTGGGTGGATGGGTAGATGGGTGGATGGGTGGGTGGATGGAGAGATGGATGAGTGGATGGGTGGATGGATGGGTGGGTGGGTGGGTGGGTGGGTGGGTGGATGGATGGGTGGGTGGGTGGGTGGGTGGGTGGATGGGTGGGTGGATGGAGAGATGGATGAGTGGATGGGTGGATGGATGGATGGGTGGGTGTGTGGATGGGTGGGTGGGTGGATGGATGGGTGGGTGGGCGGGCGGGTGGGTGGGTGGGTGGATGGGTGGGTGGGTGGGTGGATGGGTGGATGGGTGGGTGGATGGGTGGGTGGATGGGTAGATGGGTGGATGGATGGGTGGGTGGATGGGTGGGTGGATGGAGAGATGGATGAGTGGATGGGTGGATGGATGGGTGGGTGGGTGGATGGGTGGGTGGGTGTGTGGATGGGTGGGTGGGTGGATGGATGGGTGGATGGATGGGTGGGTGGGTGGGTGGGTGGATGGGTGGGTGGATGGATGGGTGGGTGGGTGGATGCGTGGATGGGTGGGTGGGTGGAAGATGAGTGAGTTGGGATGAAGTGGATGGCAGGAATGGGGTGGATCAAATGGCATAGGTGGGAAGGAATAGAGTCTGCAGAATAGGACTATGAGACGATGGGTAGCTACTTATGCCTCAGAGGGAAGGACCTGTCAGCCGGGTCTGAGATAGCTGCACTCCCTGGAGCTAGGAGCATGCCCAACTCATTTGCCCCACTTGAGATCCTTCTTCCAGAATGACCTGTGCCAAGAGTGTGAGGATATTGTCCACCTCCTTATAAAGATGACCAAGGAAGACGCTTTCCAGGTAACGGGAAACAGTTCCTAGATGAAGTTTAGGGACAAGCTCCCCAGAAGGGTATTTCCAGGCTGAGGTGGGGCCTCCACACTCATCCAGCCACCCAAGAGTAGGTTCATAAAACTGAGCTTGAGGGGCTGGAAGGATGGCTCAGTGGCTAAGAACACAGAATGTTCTAGAAGACCTGAGTTTAGTTCCCAGCACCCACATCGGACAGCTTACAACCGGTTGTCTCTCCAGGATGATCTGACGCCTCTGGTCTCAGTGAGCACATGCACACACATGCACACACATGCACCCACACATATCTAGTGTGTACTGGTGGGGACCCTGCATCAAGGGACTCAGGTGGGGCAGACCTCACAAAGGCCAGGCTAACCCTCCCTTCTCTGCCCTCCCAGGACACAATCCGGAAGTTCTTGGAGCAAGAATGTGATATCCTTCCCTTGAAGCTGCTTGTGCCCCGGTGTCGTCAAGTGCTTGATGTCTACCTGCCCCTGGTTATCGACTACTTCCAGAGCCAGATAGTGAGGACCCTGACCTGCCTGCCATACCTGTCACACAGCTCATGTGCCTAAATGGTCACTTTCCTATAGAAGTGGCCCCAACACACACACACACACACACACACACACACACACACACACACACACAGAGAGAGAGAGAGAGAGAGAGAGAGAGAGAGAGAGAGAACATTTAACCAGATAGATTCACAGCACCCATATGGCCATATACATGAACACCCATATTCATACCCCCACCACACACACACTCACACACACACACACACACACACACACACACACTCCCACTTCAGCCACAGGAAACTCAGTTCCTTCATCCAGGAACCCAGATCAGAGTATACCTGCTCAACAACATACTACACACATTCGGCATTCAGACACGCCCCGCCCCGCCCCGCCCCACCTGCCACACCCACATTCTTATTGAATTCACACAATATACTCACATGCAGTGACACTTTCCCAGGCTCCTGCCCCAAGGCCCTACACCACTCATCTCTGTCTTTGACCCTTCCCTGGAATCCTGGGATGGAGGACCCCACCCAGCCTGCTCCCCATTAACCCAGGCTCAAAGACTGTGGTCCTTGTCCCTGAGCAGAGGCCGGGTAGTGAGGAGTTCCCTCCTGATCCTAACAGTCCTTACCTTTCTGTGCCCTAGAACCCAAAGGCCATCTGCAATCATGTGGGTCTGTGCCCACTTGGACAGGCTAAGCCAGAACAGGAGCCAGGGATGCAGGATGCTATTCCAGACCCTCTGGTGAACAAGCTGACGCTCCCCGTGCTGCCAGGGGCCCTCGTGGCAAGGCCTGGGCCTCACACACAGGTAAACCAGCCCTCCCCACCTCACCCCCCTACAGCTGGGAGGCTAAAATGGCCACTGAGACACATGAGCACTCAGAGGGACAGAGCTGGGAAGAGACAAAAGGAACCAGGCAGAGCTAGGAGGCAGAGACAGGGCTTGGAAGGCACTTCCCAGCCCTAAGGCCACCTCACCACTTCCTTCCTCAGGGTCTCTCCGAGCAACAGCTCCCCATCCCTCTGCCCTTCTGCTGGCTTTGCAGGACTCTGATCAAGCGGGTCCAAGCCGTGATTCCCAAGGTAAGGTAGAACTACAGAGTTCAGGAGGCTCCATAGCTGTATCTTCCCCTACTCAACACACCAAGAAGGCTGTGAGGAATTAGGTGGAGACACCACGCATTGCCCCTACCGAGGGAACCTTGAGGCTTGGGTATTGGAGAGTAGATCATGGCCAGCCTTCTCTTCCAGCAGCTCGCCATCCCAAGGCTGAGAAGCCCCGGTTGTCCATGTAGAAAAAAGAATGCATTAATTTCTCAAAAACAGAATGTGCACTAGTAATCTCCATCCCTTCTGTCCTCCAACCCATGGTGGCTTCTCCCAATGGTCTCAGCAGCCCAGGGTTGTCCTGCCCACAAAGGTCATGCCGTATCTATCAACACTGCCAAATGGGGTCCTACAGGCAACGTCACTCATTAAGACCCACACCAGGGCACACATTCGAGCCTCTCTGAAGCTTGCCTTGTGGAAGGAACTTGGGGATTATGGACCCCACAGAGCTGAGGGTTCACACAGATGAAGGTAATAGCACCGGTAGGCCAGGAACAGGCTCCGAAGAAGCAACAATTAAGCCAGGGTCTAGGAGAAAACAGGGCTCCGATGAGCCAAGGACATCCGCCAAGAGGAATGGGCTCAGGGAGCTAGGAAGATGGCTCAGTGAGTAACATACTGGCTGATCCTGAGTTCAGATCCTCAACACCTACATAGCAACTACACATCAGGGAGGCAGAAACAGGCAGACCCCTAGAGCTTGCTGGCCAGTCAGCCTAGCCAAATGGATGAGCTCCAGGGTTAGTGAGAGCTTGTCCCACTACAAGGTAGAGGGGCTGGAGATGAGGCTTCACAGTTGAGAGCACTCACTGCTTTTCCAGAGGCCTGAGCTGGGCTCCCAGCACCCCTGTCAGGTAACTCCTGCTCTGAGGAATCCAGTGCCCTCTCCTGGCACCATGGGTACCTGCACATGTGTGGCACACACACACACACACACACACACACACACACACACTCACACACACACACACACACGAATAAAATTAAATCTTTTAAAAAATGAGAAGGTGGGAGTGACTAAGAATGACACTACGTTGACCTCTGACCTCCACATACCTGCACACACAAGTGTACAAACACAAGGACAAATGCATACACACACAGACGCGTACACACACAAACGCACGCACACACAGACTCACGCACACACAGACGCGCGCACACACAGACGCACGCACACACAAACGCAGCCCTGTCAGCCTGGACATCACTGGCTGGAGACCGAATCAAGGACCCAAAGCATGAGCAAAAGTACTGTCCAGAGGCCAGGAGGGGACAGCGCCAGAGGAGCCAGCGGAGTGGGAGGCTGTCCCGGCTGCCGGCGAAGCCGAGAGAGGAAGGGCGGCCGGTTGATCAGAAAGCCGCTGAACCACCAGGCAGGATGAGAGCTGGGCGGGGGTGCAGAGTGTTCCAGAAAGAGGGGCAGGCGTGCGAGGCTCCCTAAGGTCAGAAGCAGTTTTAGCACCCTCTCCAGCCAGCAGGGACCAGAGAGAGGATAACGCCAGGGAGGCATGGTGGAGCCCGTCTCACCAGTGAACAGCTTGGCCACTGGCTACAAAGACTTGTTGGCTTGTGTCACCATGACAGAAGAGCCAAGGGTGGGTTGATGATCACAGGTGGGCGCCTCAAGTGGAGCACCCCATTTGGGAGGCGCCACGCTCTCGGGGTGTGGGTGTCTGTACTCGGGGCCTCTTCCTGCCTCAACCTCCTGGCACTGGGGCCAGCTTGTCATGTGGAAGGAATAAAGGAGTAAGGGAAGAGCCACACCCGTGTGGCCTGTGTTGCCCTTGCCTCGAGTTGTTTGGAATTGGAGTGAGGTAGAAGGATTGCTGGCTTTCCCAGGGTTCTTAAGGCCAAGGGTCTGTCAGCTTTGAGGGCCAATGGAAGGGGCTGCCTGTCTTCCTGCTGGGGAGGTATGGTGGCCCTGGGTCAGGAAATGGGCTTTACTTCCAGCTTTGAGCCAGGCTGTCAGACGGCGTGGCCTTGCTGCCCTTTTCAAGTGACGTTAAAGCAGCTGAAGCCAGCTCTTGTGTCAACTGCTAACTCAGTGACTCCGGGGGCTCCCTCTGAGTCCCCCGGCATCTTGGATGCTCAGTGGCCTGTGGACAGTTCTGCTCTCCTTCTTAGAAGGGAGAAAGGGGTGTGCAGCAATGAGAGCCTGCCAGACGAAGGTCCCATGCTGTCCTTTCTCCACCTCCACCCCAGGGTGTGCTGGCCGTGGCCGTGGCCCAGGTGTGCCACGTGGTACCCCTGGTGGTGGGTGGCATCTGTCAGTGCCTGGCTGAGCGCTATACAGTCCTCCTGCTAGATGCACTGCTGGGCCGCGTTGTGCCCCAGCTGGTCTGCGGCCTCGTTCTCCGCTGTTCCAGCGAGGATGCTATTGGCCCAGGTAAGCCGGTGTCACTTCCCACTCTCTTCCTCCTCTGGTTCTCTTTCTAACTGATAGGACTGCCGTGCATGTGTGGGGGAGAGGGCGTGGGCAAGGTGGGGGCAGGGACCGGCACTGTGTTTTAACTATATTTTATTTGTATGGGTCGGGATGTGTTGCCAGCATCTACATCCACGTGTATGCCAGCTGTATGTCCATTTGTGCCTAGTTCCCACAGAGGCATAAAGGACGTCAACTCCTCTAGAATTAGGATAACTGATAGTCCTGAGGCACCATGTGGGATCTGGGAACTGAACCCAGGTCCTCCAGAAGAGCAGCCAGTGCTTTTAACGGCTGAGCCATCTCTCCGGTACCTGAACCAACACTTACCCAAGACGGCTTTGGGGGGAAGGGTTAAAATAGAATCTTACTACATAGCACAGGCTGGCCTTAAGCTTGCTGTGATCCTCCTGCCTCAGCCTCCCAAGTGCTGGCATGACAAGGTATGTGCCACCATGCCCAGCCTGCAGGACAATTTTAACCATTTTTTCTTTAGCCTTCCCTGCTCTCGATCCCCTGATAGAGGAAAGGTCACTACAAGACACCGAGTGCCAGCTCTGCAAGTCTGTGATCACCCGGGCATGGAACACCAGTGAACAGGCTATGCCAGAGGCCATGCCACAGGCCATGCGACAGGCCTGCCTTCACTTCTGGCTGGACAGGCAAAAGGTACAGGCTGGCACACGGTAGGATTTATGGCCTGTGTGTGGCGCTGGCTGAGTCAGAGGAGACTTGGTAGGACATTGGACTGGAGCCCAGCCAGGTAGCCAGGTGGGTCGGACAATGGGTTTTTCACAGCTGTACTGGCTGAGAGACACCACAGGGCCCAAGTGGAGAACAGCAGGCCTTCTTCACAGGCTAGGCACAAAGGAAGTACTGTCGGTTCCCGGAGAAAAGGCTCGTACCGTCTTTTCTTGGTTTCACCCGAGTGTTTACCACACTGTGCCCCGGCGGGCCACACGTTACCCCCTTGGTGGGTAGCATTTGACAGTGCCTAATAGACACCAGAAAATGAGCAAAGCCTTCTCCCAGGACCCTTCCTGTCTCCCCTGCTCAGTCTAACCCGACAGGGAGCCGTCCACCTGCACACGAGGGCTAGAAGCTGGGTATGGTAGTGCTGCCCGGGAACCCTGGCATTTGGAAGGCTGAGGAAGGAGAATTCAGAGTTCTGAGGCAGCCTCAGCTGTATGAATAATGAGTTCAGGGTCAGCCTGGGCTACATGAGCCCTTGTCCGGGGAGCGGAGACAGAACAAGAGGAATCGGTGTGGGGGCGGTGCTGAGTAAGGCGTCTCAGTGGCATTGCCCCCAAGCCTGACAAGCCAAGTTTGATCCCTGGGATCCAGACGGGAGAAGGGGAGAATCTGTAAGCTGTCCTTGTGAGCACACAGGTAGTCCTGGTGTAGACCGCGGCCCACATTGTGTCTGTCTTTCCTCAGTGTGAGCAGTTTGTGGAACAGAACACACCCCAGCTGCTGGCCCTGGTGCCCAAGGTCAGGAATGCCCACGCCGCCTGCCAGGTACACCCACCCCTCTGCTCCTGGAGCCTCACCCTCCATGGTTCATGAGCCTCAGGGACCCCCATCTCTTGGATCCGGGCAGCCTACCTACAGAACAGGTTTCGGCCTCAGAGTAGCAAAAACCGCATCCCAGTAAAGTGGAAAGGGAGGGAATACATGCTGGGACAGATCACTGAGGCTGAGGTATGACGCTCATTATGGGATGTGGTTGTGTGTAGTGACCAGTGTGTGTTTGGTGATGTGGTTATAGTATTAAAACAGGGGTCCCAGCCCCTCATCTTTAAGTCCCAGAGGCCATGGCTTGGGGAGTGGCGCAACCGGTCTTCGAGATCTTATCAAGAGTGCCCACTAGGCAGCAGGTCTGAAGGGAGGGTTGACTCCATACCCCCTGAGAGCTAGAAATGGAAAGCTCAGGCTCCTGTGCTCTCTGGCAGGCCCTGGGAGCGTGTGAGGCCCCGGCCAGTCCTCTGCAATGCTTCCAAACCCCGCACCTCTGAGAACTCGGTCTCTAGGTAAGTCCCAGCCCCTCTTGCTGAGGTTTGGGGACAGAGGCCCTGCTGCCCCTTCTGAGGACTGTACACCCTTCCTCTCCCGGGCACAGCTCCAGCTCCTCAGCGAGCAGTGGTTCCATCAGAAAACATTTGAGCTTGTCCTGTTATCTCTGACCCATTGGTACCCCTTGCCCTTCTCACCCGTCCAGTCCTCCAGTTTCCATCCAAAGCCCCCTCACATCTGGGCTGCCGGACTGACCTTGAGGGTCACATGTTCGGGCAAAACCCACAATTTCTTAGGAAGTCACAGTCACTGTCTAGGCAGCCATCCCTCAGAGGCCGAGGGTACCTGACCCCACCCTCCTGGGGCCATAGCTTTCCCCTCAGAGTGTGGTCATTCACCGTTTGTTCACACATTTGGAAAACTCACTTGCTGCCTGTGACAGGGCCCTGCCTGTGTGCACAGCTAGCCCACCACTTCTAATGTGAAGAAGGACCCCAGCGCGGTCACAGCCTCTGCGGGCAAGGGCATTTCCACTCAGTAAGTCTCTCAGGAACCAATTTAAGTGCCCTTCCCTATCAAGTCCATCTGGGCACCTGGAATGAGGAAGGTGCCCAAGCTGAGGTTACCTTCCTCCCAGCTCCCAGGGCTCCAGGCCCTGCCTGCAGAAGTAAGAGTGAGAGGCAGCCTGAGCTCTGGTCCCCAGACAAAATATGCTTTTGAGGCATCACTAGTGTCTTAGGGTTTCCACTGCTGTGAAGAGACACCCTGGCCACAGCACTCTTACAAAGGAGAACAGTTAGTGGGTGGCTTACAGTTTTGGAGGTTCAGTCCATTATCGTCATTGGGGGACATGGCAGCGCGCAGACAGACAGACAGACACGGTGCTGGAGCTGAGTCCTGTGTCTGGATCAGCCGGCAACAGGAAGTACACTGAGACAGTGGGTGTGGCTTGAGCACATAGGAGACCTCAAAGCCTGACTCCATAATGACACACTTCCTCCAACAAGGCCACACCTCCTAATAGAGCCACTCCCTATGGGGCCATTTTCTTTCAAGCCACCATGACCAGCGGCAAGCAGCCAAATGAAGGGGCTCTGGCTCTTCTGAACTGTTTCCGTCACAAACAGGCCTGCACCCCACCAGCTACTCTGCCTGCAAAGGGGCCTTACCTCCTACCCTAACCCTCCTATTCCTTCCTCACAGCACCTTGCACCAGATGGCGACAAATCTCAGCCTCTGCCCTCAGCCCTGTGTCAGCCTGTACAACACACCCTAGCCACAGCCCAACACCAAAGTGGATTCTGCCTCCATTGGGGATGAGGTGCAGAAGCCCGTGTCTTCTGGGAGCCTGCAGAGGTACTTCAGGTCTTCACTAGAGCCAACACCAGCTCCAACGGCTCCTACAGCCCCCAAAGACTGAGAAGAAACTGCCATGGCTCCCAAATGACAGCAAGGAGAAGCTGGGTCTGGCCACACCAACCCCTTGCTAGCACTTCTATGAAATTCAAGCTTCAGAAGAATAAAAAATGGGAACATGAACTGTTGTAAGGGCTGTGGGTGAGGCTTGGTGGCAGGGCACTTTCCTAGCAAGCAGGAAACCTGGGTTGAATCTCCAGCACACACACACACACACACACACACACACACACACACACACACACACACACAGAGACCAGTTTGAAGGTAGTGTGTTAGTACCCACATACAATCTCAGCACTTGGGAGACTACAGAGAGAGGATTGTGAGAGTTTGAGGCCAGTCAGGGATACAGAACTTTCTTTTTTTAAGTCAAACAAACAAAACAGTCTGAAAGATAAAAATAGGCATATGAAATCCTCAGCTTGTGCTTTTTCAAATAAAGAGAATTAAAACAAACAAAACAAAACAAAAAAACAAAAACAAAAAACTGTTGAGACAGACACTTTGGTGAATGACAGTTGATGTCCCCAAGGCTGGTGACACCGTAGAAGGAGAGCACCAACTTCTAGTTGTTTTTTGGCCTCCACATGTGGCCCACACATATACATACATACATACATGCATGCATGCACATTTAATTTAAAAAGAAGGAAGTTGGGCCAGTGGCATGGCTCAGTGGGTAAAGATTATCTGTTGCACAAGCCTGATGATCTGAATTTGATCCCTGGAACCCAAGATGGTGGCAGAGCTGACCCCCAAAGTTATCCTCTGATCTCCACATTTATGCCATGGTAACATGACCCCGCCCCATTATAAACATACACATAATGACAGTAATTTTCTCTTAAGTCAGGAAATCCCTGGCCTGGGTAAGGGTGGGCTCTGCACGCTCTGACCATTATGGTTCCATATTTGAGGTGTTCTGTATAACTTAGTGGCAGAGTACAAGTTTAGCATGCTCTAGAGCTTGGGTTTTATCCCAGCACTAAAAACAAAACGGTATGGAAAGACGGATAGACTCTCCTGACTTTTTTAAGTTTACAAACCTGAGGGTGATTCCGTATCTGCCACAATTATCTAAGATCAGTTAGGACTGTGCACAACAAGGCCCAGTCCCCATGCTGACACAATGCCTGAGCCACAGATAATAAAAGTGCCGTTCCCTTGTGCAAAATAAGAAAACAGTGTCTTTTAAGGGGCGCCAGGAGTCACAGCTTGGACCTGATGTTAGCAGCACCAGGGCCTACTGTTAAGAGTAGTTTTTCCCACCTGCCTGGTCCCACAGCTGCACCAGCCCCAAATAACACAGAGACGCTGTATTAGATACAAAGCGGTCAGCCTGTTACTAGCATTTCTTATTGGCTAGCTCTGTCTTAAGTATTAACCCATTTCTATCAATCTAAGTATTTCCACATGGTCTTATCTTACTGGAGAGAGGATCTGGAGTTCTACCCTGTTGGTCCTACATTTTGAATCTCTCCCTGAATCCTCCTTGTCTCCTAGTCCCGCCTATCTTGCTTTCCTATTGGCCAACAGTGCTTTATTCATTAACCAATACGAGAAACATACTTACAGAATGACATCTCCCATCAGCCTACCTCTGTCCCTTATGGAACAAAAGTCCACTTCTGCTCCCCCTGACCCCTGTTCCCTGCCTGGTCTCTCTCCTGCTGCCTCCTCTGCCTCACAGGCTTACTTAAGGTGAGTGGAAGGTACTAAACATCAAAGTAAGAAAATAGGAGGCTGGAGAGATGGCTCAGCAGCTTAGAGAACTTTGCTCTCACCGGGACCTGGGTTTGATTCCCGGCAGCCACACGGCAGCTCAACACCATCTGCAACTCTAGTTTCAGAGGATCTGATGCTCTCGTCAGACATCTTGGTGCTCAGGAAGCAGGTCAGCCTGGCCTGCACAGCAAGGCCTGTAGTGCAGGGGGTGGTCTCCCTACATCTGTTTATAAGTTCTGAGAACTTCCTTAGAATCAAATTGAAGATGCACAAGTGGGACAAAGGCCTGCATATCTGTACGTTTGTACTTTTAACATAGGCTTCCTGTGGAGTTGGTGCTCTGCCCACGCGTTACCAATTCCCATCTCAATTGCAAGTGCCTTTTCCATTTCCTGTGAGTCTGAGGATTAGCAATTCTTCACTTTTTTACTAAAAGATAAAGGAAAAGGGTCTTCCTGAGCCAGCATGGTGGTTCATGTCTATAATTCCTGCACTTCAGCCTGAGCTATATAATCAGTTTTAGGACAGCCTGAGCTAAAGTAAGACCCTGTTTGGAAAAGGGAGGCAGGAAAGGAGGCACACTGGCTGGTTGGTGATGTAGTTCATTCTGTAGAGTCTACCAAAGCCCAAGTTCAGCTCCCAGCACTGCATAAGCCAGATGTAATGGCCTGTATTCTCAACACTTGGGAGGTAGAGGCAGGAAGTTCAGGGTCACCCTCAACTCTGTTTGAGGTTAGTTTGGGATACACAAGGCCCTTTTGTAATTAATGTTTTTTTAATTAATTTTTTATTTTATGCATGCTTTCTTCTTGCATGCATGTTAATTGAACATGTGTCTGGTGCCTTCAAAGGCCTTGGGGGCATTGGATGCCCTGGAAATGGAGTTATAGAAGGTTGTAAGTTGCCATATAAGAGCTGGGAATGGAACCCTGGGCTCCTGAAGAGCAGCAAATACTCTTAACAAACCAGCTCTTCGGCTTTGATCACTGAAAAAGCATCTACATACTTACAGGTTATTCGTATTTTATCCTTTGTGGAATATGTTTGGGCTTTCTGCCTGATTTTGTTACTATTTTCCTTTATTTTTAAAAAGGTTATTTTTGGGCTGGAGAGTCAGCTCTGAGGCTAAAAGCATGCACTGAACTTCCAGAGAGCAATTCCAGAGTTCAGTTCCCAGCACCTACATAGGCGGCTCACAACTACTTGTAACTGCAGCTCCAGGGGCTCCCGATCTTCTGGCTTGTGATGCTCACAGGACACTGTGGAGGTAAGGTCTCTCCATACAGCTTTATGTGGGGGTCTGGGGATTGGACTTGGGACACCAGGTGGGCGCTTGCAAGTGCCTTTACACACCGTCATTTCGATGGCTCTTATTATATTAACAGTAAGGATCTACTGGTAATACTCATTATTTATTATCCTGTATTACTTTTCCTGTCATGTATCTTCAATGTAGGATTTTTCCATATATCTCAAGCTGGCTGTCGGGTCATGCTAAGAAAGCATGATTTTCCCTTCCTCACCATGGTTCACACTCTGTGAAAAAAGGAATTGCATGCTGAGTTCATGATACAAAGGGTATCTCCCTGTTCAGACAGCCATGGTTAGTAGCAAGCCACAACAGACTTTAGACCAATAGTTCTCAACCTTCCTAATGCTGTGCCCCTTTAACACAGTTCTGCAATCACAAAATTACTTTGCTAATTCATAAATGTAACTATACTACTGTTATAAGTCATAATGTAAACACCTGTGTTTTCCAATGTCTTAATCGATGTCTATGAAAAGGTCAACCCCCCCAAAGGGGTCAAAACCCACTGCCTTAGACCACTGAACAGCCAACCCTGAGAAGGAGCACTAAGTGCTTAGGTGAGTCTATCTATTGCCACCTTCTTGGGAAAGTAAGCAACAAAAAAATACCCATGCAGGACAGTACCAAGAATGTGGTAGCAATACATTTCACCCAGAAACACAGAGTACTTCATAAATGCCAAGCCTCTCCCCAGGGGTGGGACAAAAGAAACATCTTAATCTTTGAGTGCCAGGCATAGTGACACACGCCTGTGATCCAGCACTCAGGAAGCTGGGGCAGAAGACTGCTGAAATAAATAAATAAATATATATATATATATATATATATATATATAATGTTCTGGGCCAGCCAGGGCCACAAAGTGAGACCTGACTCAATAAAACAAAACAAGTTAGGTGTGGTGGCACACACCTTTAGTTCCAGCATTTGGGAAACAAAGGCAGGTGGATTGCTGTGAGTTTAAGGCCAGCCTAGTCTACATAGTGATTTCATGCCAGGCAGGGCTACAAAATGAGACCCTATCTCCCAAAATAAATAAATAAAAACAGGCACCCAGCATCACTACTTATCAACACTTGACATTTCGTGTCCTAAGGTCAATGGGTCCAGAATTCAAAACAAGCATAAATGTCCTTGGAAGTGAGACTAGCAGCAAAAATACTTCAGTCTTTACCTTGGAAGAGACAGATTCCTGCATGTTGTCCTCTGACCTTCACACATATGCTGTGGCATGTGCACACTAATACATATACAACCGCATAAATAAACGCAATTTGAAATAGCTGGGCAGTGGTAGTACTTGACTTCAATCCCAGTACCCAGGAGTGCAGAAGCAGGCAGACCTCTGAGTTCAATGCCAGACTGGTCTACAGAGTGAGTTCCAGGTCAGAAACCCTGTCTCAAACCAAACCAAACTGAAAATAACATTCTTTGTAGGGGTGGGACAACTTGCAGGAGTCAGCTCTCTTCTTCCAATGGGTCCCAAGAACTGAATTCAGGTTCTCAGGCTTGACAACATGCACCCTTTCCCACTAAAGCATTTCACTAGCCCAAGTGAGAGAGGGAGAAAGAGAAGATGTGGGAAGGGAGGGAGGTTGGGTGGGAGACAGACACAGACAAAGGAAAATAAACGGGACTTGGTTAACAGGATAAGCAAATTGGAGGGGAAGAGAAGACTCATGGGCTGGAGATGCTCAGTGGGAAGAGCGCCTGCCCCACAGCATCAAGATTGTTTCTGTGGACACAAGCTCTCCTATAAACCAGTTTTGAGGTGAAGGCTGGAGAATCAGTGGGCTTACTGATCCAAAAACTAGCTCCAGGTTCATTCTCGTCTCAGAAGTGGAACATCTGACATTCGCCTCTGGCTTGCAGACACACACACGCACACACTCCAAAAGAAAATGAAAGGGTGACTCCTGAAAAAATCATTAGGGTTTTTGCTTGAGATGGGATCTTATGTAGCTAAGAACAACCTTCTAACTCATGATTCTGCCTACATCTCCCATGTACTGGGATTCAGACACTTGCTTCCATGCCTGGTTTATGTGTGTGGTGATCAAACCCAGGGTTCCATGAATGCCAG